GTCGAAATAACCTCACTCCCCAGGAGGAAGTCTTTTCATGGTCTACACTTTCCTTAATGATGCGACTTTTCGGTATCTAGCGAGCCTTATGCCACAACAATAACTATCCAAATTACGCATAACTTTAGAACAGTTTCGCGTCATAATGGAAAGTCAACCATATTATAGAAATGGTTAATCCTCAAAGACTTTGTCTTAAACTGCGCAATATTAATCCACTTTCTAAAAACAGGGGACTAGAGCCTTTGGCATTATCGTAGGCTCTTTATCATCTTGCGGAGCAATCATGAATGTTTCCCTCTTAATCACCCAGTGATGACGTGAAACAATTTCACAATTGCTACCACGCAACTAAGAATGTTGAGTATTCTTCTCTAACGGATTAATCCATTAGTAGGCACATCGCTCCTACTGTCCCTAGGATATTGGAAATTTCTTTCCATTCTCAATTAGGCTACATAAAGCGCTATGCTTAGAATTCTCTATCTTATAGAGTTCCAAAAACCTCTATTCACGTCACCTTTACTAAGAAAAATTTATGTGACTTAGTTACACTCCCACAAAGCTGCTTACCTATATGCACATGACTCGAAGGGTTTACATGACCGCATACAATAATGCGCCACACAACCCTATGTGTTTACAAGACAGCATACAATAATGCGCCATAGAACTCTAGGTCTTAACTTCGCAACCTTATGAGAAGTAAAAATAAAGATAAGCTGCTTAATGGTTATAGATCGCCCATAGATGGCTCTCCACTAACCCATTACATAAATGGAGTGTAAAAATTTGATATGGAGGGCATTTAGTTAGGGATATAGGCAACAAACTAAAGTGCAATTCCCAATTGGGAAACATTTTGCGCCATTATCCACCTAACATTAACAATACTTAATTCCTTATCTCTACTACACCATTGTTTTGTTGAGTATTAGGAATAATCAATTTTCTAAGCATCCATTTCTCTTCACAGAGTTTTCTAAAATAACTCAAATAGATACTCGCCACCTTGGTCAAAACTAAAAACACAAAATCTGTTATCTAATTGATCTCAACCTCATATGTGCAATGTGAAAAATCATCTCAAAACTTTTGACTTATGAGAGATCAAATAGTCTTGACTCAGATGCGTATCGTAATCTATAAATGTGTCGAGATTGAGGCTTAGCTATCATACCCTTACACATATCTAGTCACAAATATCATAGTGGACTAAATGCGCCAAAACAAATGACCTTTTACGGCTTTCCTACTTACTTGTGCGCACCCATTACGAACAAAATTACACATTCACATGAGAGTAGGATGTCATAAGCGAGTGGGCCCGAGAAGGCCTACTCAAACCATCGTGTCATCATCTCATTAATGTGATTAAGTATAATAAGCCACTGGTTCATGACCAATGTCATAAACTAATTCCAATCATCTTAATGTGTGAGTTTTCGAAGACAAGTTTTAAAGGTTTAGACCCAACTAGGTAATGACTCACGACTAATTCATATTCACTAGATCATAAAAGGATGTCATGGAGATATCAAGTGTGCCTAAGTCGCAAATTTAACTAGTAAGTGCTAATCTCCTGCACCTTCAAGTCAATTTTATTCTCCATACACTTTACTGCATCTAGTTGAAAGATGATGATACTCCTCTTGCCATATCTATTTCTCATTTCATAGTTACTTGCAATCAATTCTACTATCCACAAGAAGGAGAGAATAAGCTATCAACTATGACAGCTCCTTAAGTAACTTAAGCGCGAATTAGGCTAAAGAGTCTAATTCAACACAATGCTCTCACGAGCCATGCGTCAAATTCTTAGAGTCATAACAACCTTGTCGGCCTTGACCTTTTCATTATTATGTTGCAACGTTTGCGCTTAGTGGTAAACGTTATTAAAAAACGTTAGCCTAGCTAAGGAATCATACAAAGAAGCCCCTCCTCATGTCTCACACTCAAGTGTGGAAACAGTAAGTGTCCAGACTTAGACAAGTTGGTAATGCTAATAGATTTTGTAGCCACTAAGCGCTAATTTTTTCACTTAGTGTTAATAGATTTTGCAGCTTCTAAGTGCTAATTTTTTCACATAGTGTTAATAGTTTTTGCAGCTTCTAAGCGCTAATCTTTTCACTTAGTGTTAATAGATTTTGTAGTTTCCAAGCGCTAATCTTTTCACTTCACGTGATATTTCAATGCACACTATTATAGTGCATGAAATTTTGCTCCATCCACTGCCAATAATTGGGTAGAGAGCAAAACACTGCTCATACTGGCTACTCGTCTTACACTTAATGACTACTTTATGTAAGCTCGCATTTCTTGGATGACGTGACTCTTGAATGTTACTTCATCCAATGATGTAACATTATTTACAAGTCAAATTACAAAGTCAATCCGCACAGTTCAATAGTCAAGATCATATACAGATCTATTGAGGGCTTACTAATTTCATAACTCCAAAACTCGCCAACCAAAACTACGTATCATGCCGCTAACCATAGCGTACACATTAGTTTTTATTATGCCAAACAAGGCAACAAAACCACGGCAACTTTGAGTCATGTTTCCTTACTTTGGCTCAATTAAGGTTTGACCTAAAGTCTCCAAGACTTTTTCTCATCTAAAAAATGGGATTACATTGTTCACATTTGAACATCTTTACTAAGTCTAGGTCAACCAATTAACTTCCATAAGCTAAGTCAATTTAGAGAGAAATTCGCATTGGGATTAATTTGATTAGCATAATATAATTTTGCCACAAAAATCTAAATTAAATAATGACAATATTACACAAGTCGCAAGATCGAAAATCCGCTATGCTCGTAATCATCTCTTGCGCCACAGGTGACAATTATCCAAAATTTAATTTAATTTATGCGCAAAATATTGGTTTTCGGGAGTTAATCTACAAAGATTTCTCTCAACCGAATAACCTCCCACTGACTATGGCATGCCTAAAAGCATGATAAAAAATTCTAATTCCATACAATAGCATCATAATGTAGATTCACAACCAACTCATGCTATATCACAATTAATAATGGAATTTAAACAAATAACAATTAATCATGCTATTCTAATTACAACATATTAGAAACTCTAGGCAAAAAATAATAATATGCTTTATTTAATATTCAAATTATGTCATAACAGAAACTATATCACTTCTGAAATTTTTTAGAATTTTCTGCTATTTTCTGGAATTTTAAATAACTAATAAACACACATAAAATTAGAAATAAATATTACAGAATCTGGTAAAATGAAATAACTAGACCAGTAAATAGTAAACTACAACAATAGTCTACAATAAAAAATTCAGCCCCAGAAACTTAATCATGCAACACCAGATGCATTTTAAACCAGAAATAATGAATTATTATTTCAGGAAAAATATTTTTTTATTTTCATAAAATTTCAAAATTTTACAGAATATAGAAAATTTAATTCTAAGTCTAATGGTCCCAACCACGCTTAAAACAAAGCTATAACGAATTAATTATGACCATTTAACGCGATTCAGAATTAAAAACAAAACAAACAGAGCCTTAACTTCAGCAGCCAAGCCGGGGGAGAAAAACGGCGCGGCTTAGCGTGTGGCTCAAGGACGGCTTAGCACGCGGCTCAATGAGCGGCTCAGAAACGGCTCAGCGGCGGCTCAGCGAGTGGCTCACAAGCGGCTCAGCGAGCAACTCACACACGGCTCAGCACACGGGGCGCGTGCGTGGCGCGGACGGCGCGCGCTTGGAAAGCGCCGCTGACACGCGCGTGACGACGCGTAGAAGCACATCTGAATCGCGTCTGCCGCATGGAGGCGCGTGCAAGGGCGTGACAACGCGTGGAGGCGCGTGGACGCCTCCCACGGCATCAGGTGTCGCGTGAGGCCCACGCTCTGCTTTCCAGGGTGTTTTCTGGTTCGATTTTTGTACTGGCAGACTCCATTTTTCACAATAAAAACATTTATGGCATTAAAAATAACATTTAATGAACATAAAAATGAAGACATCTTCCTCCTTTATTAATATTCATGCATATATCATGTATATATATTTATATAAAAAATATACACATGATTAGAGAAAACACAAAATACCCATTAAGGCTCTGATACCAATGTAAATTATAAAGCATTATAACGCAGCGGATAAAATATCAGAATCATACCTTTTAGCGAAGAACCTCGTGGGTAAATCACGTTCTTCCTAAATCTGATCAATCAACCCAGCAATGGAGTGATATTACAGAATAAATATCACCTACACAAATCACAGTGTAAAATGGCTTGATTGTTGTTTAATCGGAGAGAGTCAGAGAAGGAGTCTGGGAAAAAGGTTATGGGTAAAAACCACATAACGTATCTGTGATATCGATATATTATCTCCATCATATCAGATGTATATAATATATAACATTCAACATCTATCTATCCATCTATCCATATCAGTTGATATGATAGATATAGATAACCTGAGTGGTTATCCAAATAAGTTTTGAATTCAAAATTCAAACTTACATGGATAAGGTTCAAAAGGTTCAGGTTTCAAAAGGTTCAAAGGGTCATGCCACTTGGGCGCTCAATTTCTAACATTTCCATTTTATTCCTGATCTTTTCTTTTCTTTTTCTTTTTATTATTATTAGAGGGAAAGAAAGAATAGAAATGGTTTTAAGCCCACATCCGGTTGCAGGTTGCCCAAAAAAAATGATGTGAAGTCAATGTCAAACCCAAAATTCGTTAGAAAAACATAAGTTATCTCGTTAGTACTTATTGCCCATTTCAGTTCATGAGAAATTCAGTGTGGGTTCAATACCAAGGCAAAATCGAATTAGAGTGTAGCATTAGCAGTAAGTAAGATGTAAAAACTGAGATAAATATTGTGTTTGAATGATGAATTTGTGGAGAGAAAGAGGGTTTAGGGAAATGAATGGAAATTGGGATTTTAGAAAACGATTAAGGCAAAATGGAATCTGCAAATAATAAGAAGAGAAGGAAATACCATACCAATGAGATTGGCCAACGTCATGATGAGTTTCGGCTTCAGAATTAGAATTACGATCTCCCGCTCCAATCGAATCACATTTTTGTTCTTCTTCTCCTCCTCCATTGGGCGATTATGAACTACATACATACCAGTTTGTAATCGAGCTCGAACACATCTAGGGTTTCGTCGTCGCAGCAGGGGGTTGGGCGTTATCAAATTGGTTGTTTAAGTTGGAGATGATGATGGAGACGACGGCGGTTAAGTCGATGGCAGGAAGTGTAGGATCTCTTAAGAGAGAGTGACACCTAGAGGGTTAAAATCAGGGCTCCGAGATAAAAAAAGAATAGGAGAGAGAGGTATGGGACTTATTGGGAGGTGGTGATGGTTGCTCGACGCCGTCGTCTGCTACTACTCGATGTCGTCTCACGCTGTCGCTGCCGTCGCTCGACGCCACTGTTTGCCACTGCTCACAATTGTGCGCGAGAGAGAGATTCATAAGAAAAGATGGGTTGGTTCAAAAGATTAGGGATTTGAGATTGGGGATTTTTGGTTGAGGGTGGAAAAACAAGCGCGAATTAGGTTTTGGGTTTTTTTTTTTTTTTTTTTTTTTTTTTTTTAGCGACGTCAAGTTTCACTGTCACAAATAAAAATTTAAGGCAGTGTTTGGTAACGTTTACGTTTTTGGTTTATGTTTACAAAAAATTTATAAACTAAAGAAAAATTGTAGAGAGAGAGAGATATGTTTAGAAATGAATGAAAAAGGGGCAAATGATTAATGCATAGCTGAAATGAACAAAAAACGAGGCAGATCATGCGTCTGGCCGCACGTGCAGAGCCCCTAGCTGCATGTGTGGAGCCCTTCACCGTATGTGCGGAGCCCCTCGTCGCACGTGTGGAGCCCCTTCCCACACATGCGGAATTTTCCCACCACACGTGCAATTAATGTAGAATCAACACATCGACCCAGCTCCCTCTCGCACGTGCGGCCATCCCTCCCGCACGTGCGGCCTAAGCCCTCGCACGTGCGGTCCCACCTAACTCAGCTCGAACCTTTTTGAGGTGATCCCGATCCCCTCAATTTCGTCCTTACGCCCAACGTTCAAAACATTTAAATCGACCTAACGTTGAGTAGATTAAACAAGTCCGAACTCTCAAGCATCAATGCGACGCAAACCATCAAGGTGCCGAATAAAATAAATAAATAAATAAATAAAATAGGTCCAAAAGGCACGTTCAAGTTGGATCCAAGACCCGGGACATCACAACCTCCCCACCTTAGGAAATTTCGTCCCTGAAATTAAACAAATGCTGAATTAAAAGCCAAAACTTCATGAAGAAAACACAATACCAAAGAGGACCTCCCAATCAACCAAGGGAACATGACACTAACTCTAGGCTACATCCAAACTTGGAATACCTTCCCGACTCTGGGTCTGACATCTCAGAGCTCCAAGGACACCCAAATTAACAAAAACTCAAAGAAGTGATCACATACGTCTCCTTGACCCATACCACTCGCTGGGTCTATGAGACAAGAACAACAACTCGTATACCTAAGGCATCCTCCAAAAGACAACCACCACAGCATGTCCAAACACTCCTGAATGTTTAACACCCCAACATGGAGGAGAATAAAGTTTTCACTACTGGACCTTTGGTTAACTCACTCAAAAGGAAAGGATTATAACAAAACCTGACCCAAGGCAAAACTCCGGCCTAACAAGCCCTTACAATGCCAATCGACCCACATAACCGAACATACAGACCCAAGATTAGCAACTCAAATAAAGTGGTTACACCATCCCAACCATAAAGGTATAATAACTAACAACTCAGCTTTTTTTAAATAAAAAAACATTTCATCATTTTCTCGATTCTTGGTAAGAATCATTTCTTTGCATGTAACACATTTTCCTAAAGGTGCTCAAAACTCACACCGGTCACAAGCCAAAAATACATTTTTTGCCTTTCAAGCAAGACCCAAATTTTATTCATTTCCAATTCTGTTCCAATATAACATCCGATAAGTCTCTACCGTCACCCAATAATGCCCATCACTCAGATGGTGATGCCACAACCAACATCAACATAACATTTCCACAATAATAATTAACAAAGATAACAACTGTGCCGTCAACACAAAATACCACTATCACGCAATTTCATTCGGTCATGATCATTATTATTACCAACGCAAGTTATCATCCACACAAGGTAACGAAACGGTCACATAAGCTAGTTAAAACGAGGGTTTTTATACTACTTTAAAAGAAAACTCTTTTTCCCAAAACAATTTTAAAATCTCAACCCCAAGGTTTTAGGTGAAATTAAAAATGCCATGATAGGTTTCAAAAACCGACAATCACTTTTCAATTTATTTTCTCAACAAACAACCGGTGAATCCCAACCATCACCCAATCACATCCATCACACCTCTAGTGACTTCATAATGTGACAACTATATTTCCATAACAACAACAAATAGAAATAAATACAGTGCTAAAATAGATAATACATCACGCATGACTTTTCAAATTCCGAAAGTTTCACACCAATACAAACACTAATGAAATAGACCATCGATACACGAAGGCTTATGAGTGCTCCCAACCAAGAAGCTAACACTTTATCCCGACTCACGGGTTTCACGGGTTTCAAAAATTCACACCGGGAAGCGCACATCGATAACCACACACACATAAGCAAGGCTCAATGCCCCCAAACACAACCCATAGTATTACACCACCTTATAGCTAAATCTGTGCTAAATTTCCAAAGGTCCAACTTCATAACTCACATTCAAACCATTCTAAAGTAACTATTTGTCACCCACCTTAATACCGATCAACTGACTAATTACCCAAGAATTTCCGCCCCTGTCATTCAAACATCTACACTCTTCTCCCGCCTCGTTTACTCAGAGACGGGGTTCTAAACACTGTTCCACATACTTTTAGAATCTCCTCGAATTTCTTAAAACAGACTACACCACTCTTATTCCCAAAGGAAACTTTTATTCATACGCCTAGATGGCAACCACGCCATTAAATTTCAACACAAGACCTAATAGGTCCACGGTGATCACACGATCCTGGTCACATGAGACAATCCTTATCAATGCTACACTCATTACTTGAGAACACAAATTGTTCATCGTTCTAGGAAATACTTCGAGTATCCACCCATGAATTTCTCTGCCCACTCAAGACTCCCCCCAAAATCTAATGACACCCAGAACTGATTCCACACACACATAAATACTAACCTTGGCACAACACTAACCCTACTCACAATCGATAGGACCGCAACGAACTCACTAAGCAACAACTCAAGACACTAAACAACGCACACAAGTGCCATTCTCACTATGCCGAGATATGAATCTCACACTCCCTTAGACATTCCCACATAACTTCCACCAATTTTACCAAACTCTAAGGTCTCACATTCCCTCAGACTCAACACATTCAAAGCCTTATAATTTGGCTCTTATCATACCACCTCACTATTCAAAAAAATTTCACGAATTTCTCATTCCCCACAAACAAATTCCAACTGGACAAGGATCAACGACCATCACATGACCATCTCATAATTCAACATTTGATATACAACAACACTAGGATCATCAACCTCATTAACAATTTTTCATTACATGTACGCAAAGAGAGTTCAAGTTTCATTACATGCCCCAATACATGAGGGTACACAAATGACAATACATATACATGTACAACACATAACCACGGTGCTTCAACATCCCATAATACACCGATCAAGAACAAAAGTTCACAATTTATAACATCGATCTCTAAAACAAAAGTCCCTCTCAAGGGTGATACTATTATGCTGGTTGAAAAGTCGACCCTCACGAAGCTCTTGATACTGATACCGTCCTCGGCTGGACTGATGAGCCAGAGTCCGACTAAGCTCTAAAACACCCAAAGAACTTACACACAAAGGGTAGAAACGTCTAACATGGCCCAGCTGACCACAATTAAAACAAACAAGAGTCTCCTAACTCTGAATCTGGCCTGGAGCCCAAACCTCACTAGGTCTCCCAACGGACGAGTCCGAAACCCCTGACGAAGACAAGGACAAAGTCTTAGAGTGAGCATGCGTTCGCCTCGACCTCTTACTAAGCCTAGAGTGTTTATGAACCGAAGGAGTTTCCAAAGTGGCCTCCTCCCTAACTCGACCTACACTGTTAACCATGGTCTCTACATGGGCCACCGCCTCAACTAAAGCCAAAAAATTCTTCCACATAGATCCAATCACCTTCTCCCGAATATCATCATGTAATCGTCTCTCAAACTCATAACAACGGCGCTCCTCTGTTGCCACCAACTCTAGAGCAAACCTTGACAAACTAGAGAACCTCATCTCAAACTAAGCTAAAGGAATAGTATCCTGGCGCAACTCAACAAACTGTTCCTTCAACCTTTCTTGAGCAGAAAGAAGGAAATATTTGGCCAAAAAGGCCTCTGTAAAAGCAACCCACGTGGCATTTACAGTGTTCTTAGCATACTTCCACCAATAATTCGCATCTCCTTTCAATTGGAAACCTGCCAAAGAGATCCTCAACCCCTCGTCCTCGACTTTGAGCATATCAAGAGTCTTGGTAATCTGTTCCAACCAACTCTCCGCTTCCAACAGTTTTGCCTGCCCCAAAAACTCTGGTGGGTTGGAGCGAAGAAACTCCTTAGTAAGCTTGAGGGTACGCTCATTGTCCCCCTCATTGTGAGCTAGAGCATCTTGCACCGCTCTCACAATCTAGCGTGCAACTTCCTCGCCGACAACCGATGCTGCAACGACAGGTGCTAAGGGAACCACCGTGCCCCTACCGACACTCCTACTACCCATTCGTCCTTTATTCTCTCGTGTAGACATCCTACAAAATCCCAAAACAATATCACACTTAGTACACATCGCAACAGCTTCCTTGAGGCACACACTCACCATCACTAAGTAACAAGACACACTTAATCCCCAAAACATACAATTCCCAATGCATATAAACAATTTAAACATCTAAACACATAATCGAATCAAGTTCACAAAGATAGCCTGTCATCTTGGAACTCTCAAGGAATTCCTATTAGAAACCACGTTGATCAGGCATCTTTCCAATAGGACCTGAAAGCAAGTTCGCCTGCTACAAGTACTATCTAAGAAACTTAATCCCATGCTCACATAAATGCAACATATAAGTCCTAACACTTATCCTAACTATATGCAACGTCCTCACCAATCATAGTAAACCCTTTATGGTAAAAACCACTTTCCACGAGCCCAAAGTATTCAAACCTGGCTCACTCTGATACCAAGTTGTAACGCCCCACTTTTTATTACTCAGATTCCATTACCAAACCATTATTATAGGTTCAATT